CTGTCTCAATCGATGATGCAATCCGTCCCTATGCACCAGCAGTTCCTACCACCCATGGGCCCCGCAGCGGCAGCCTTGCCGACAAGCTTCCTCATGGAGCAGACGCTCAACATGGCAGCACCATACCAACACGTGCTGGGTGGCGACGGCTTCGGCATGCTGGCTAACTCGGCATCCATGAGCCAGTACCAGCCCCACCTGGTACACCGGATGGGCCCTGGAGCAGCAGCGCAACAGCTGTTCATGGGGCGGCAGCAACCTGCCCTTCACCCGCACCCGCAGCATGCCATGCTTCAGGGGCTGCTGCTGCCTAGAGCATCTGATGGCAGTTACATTGGCAGCTTTGTCGGCAGCGCACCTGCAGCTATAGGCGGGGCTGGCGGCAGCAGGGGCAGCAAAGGCGGCTCTGGCGAGGACAATGGCGGCGGCAGCGGTGCAGACGGCAGCAAGGAGGGACAGAGGAAGGCTCGGAATGGCTCGCGGCGGCGGCTGCCGCCACAGCGGCGAGACCTCCCCACACTGGCTCACTTTGAGCAACTGGGGGGGCTGCCTGCGGTAAGGCGGCGGCGCTGTGTGCATTCTACACATCGCCTCCCGAACCTGCTGTTTACAGTGATTGCACTGTGCGCTGCATGCAGATCTACGAGTGGTGGACCAAAGACTTGCTTGACAATGGGATGAGTCGGCAGGAGACGGTGGGGAGGCCTTGCCGTGCGTGTATGCCTTTTGCTCGGCTGTCAGTACTTGAATGCTGCCTTGCCTAACTGTTGCATCGCAAATGCAGGTGCCACATTCATCTTCTTTCCCTTCTTGTTCTTCAGGAGGAGCAGGAGCAGGCCTGCAACCCAGCTGCGATGCCAGAGTGGCGCTCAGGGATCGACAAGCGACGCTTCAATGGTAGGGTGATCAGGGGGCGTACAATTGGGTCATGTGTGGTTGGGTGCAATATCACACCTGGCACATTTTTGTTGTGAGTTGCCATCACATGCTCTTTCGTTGCACTCGCTTGTCACTTGCAGAGGTGAATAAGCTCATCACCTACATCGAGGAGCATGCGGCCACCCTGCAGCAACAAACCAAGCAAGCGGTATCCCGAATGGAGGTGAGCTTGCAGGTTTGGGTGGGGGCTGGCAGGGTGCGTGGGAGTGGTATGAGATTGAATGGCAATGGTTGAGCACGACGGACAACGGGGGAGCTGAATTGTAAAGGCTGCTTTGCCTTCATTGAGCATGCAGATGGCTCGACAACTGGAGAAGGAGCGGCAAACTGCAGCTATCAAGCATGGCGGCAAGCAGAAGAAGCAGACCCTGAACTCCCTGTTGAAGCAGCTGCAGAAGCAAGGTGGCAAGGCCAAGAGGGCTGCAGCTGCAGCAGCAGCGGAGCAGCACAGCAGCGGCAGGGAGAGCGAGCATGACGGCAACGATGCAGGCGGCGACTAGGCACGCTCTTGACTGTTGCTAGAGATTGCATGTTACATTCTTGTTGTAATGTGCCCCCAGTTATTCGGGCAATGGACAGAGGAGCAAGAAAGGAGAGGTGAGGGCAGGGTGGTGAGGGTCTGGTGTGAGATGATATCAAGAGGTTGGATAGAAAGGAAGGTGTTGCAGGTGCAGCTCTCTCTGAAGGATAGGCCAGGCTTGGCTCATACTGCCCTGGGCTGCTGCACTTGCAGCAGCCTGCCCAACCGCTGCAAGTCGTTGCCCCCACAGATCCCTTTCCTCTGCGCATCAGGAGAAAAGGCAGAGAATTAGCTCAACAAAGCAAGCTAAGGCAGGCAAGCAAGGCAGTCAGGAGAGGGGCAGGCAAGCAAGGCAGTCAGGAGAGGGGCAGGCAGAAATAGAGGGGCAGCAGCGGCGTGCCCACCAGGCGACGCGGTCACCATGCGCGCAGAGTTGGCATACACCCAGAGCATAAAACGGCTCATCACAGCCTCCCTGCTGAACACAGGGGTTGCTGCAGCATTGGCAAGGGAAGGAAGGGGCAGACCAACCATTCACAAAGGGGCAAAGGGTTGTGCAGCGGCAGCAGGCTGCGAGGGCGGGGCGGCGGGAGGCATAGGGCGGGCAGCCAGTCCGGGCACTTGGCTGCGCGTCTGCGAGCATGACTTTCCCACCTATCTCCTGCCGCCAGGCCGCCATCCAGCGCTCCAGCCCCTCGGGCGAGGAGCCATCGGCCTGCGCCTGCTGCAGCGCCGAGTTGCACAGAGCCCTCAGCTCCGCTCGTTCAGCCGCAGTGAGGCCCTCCCGCGCATGCTGGGAGCCGTGTGGGGCGGCGGGAGGCTGGCCATGGGGCGTCGGGGGAGCGGCATGGGGACCGGCATGCGGGCTGGGGAGAGCCCCAGGGGCCCCGGCGGAGCCCCTGCGGGCCCGTGGGCTCTCCCTGATGGTGAAAGAGGGCGGATGGGGCGGTCCGCGATTCGGGGTCCGAGCCCCGACTTTCCCCGCGTCCGACGTGGTCCGCAACACCTCTAGATGCCTTACATTTCTTGCGGGTCGGTCGCGCGGCGAGAAGCGTGACACGCGCAGATGGCCTGCGGGGCGATCTGCCGATAGACTGGCGAAGAAGAAGAAGAAGAAGATGTGACCAAACACGGGTGACTCAGGGGGAGAAACGGTGGCAGCGACTTTCCAGAGGAAGCCTGCCGCCACTCCCTCCCCACAGGAGGCTGTCAGGCTGGATCTGGAGGGTTCTGAGCTGTCGGCTGCGTCTGTGCATACAGCGATCGTCGCGATGTGCGGATCTGCACGTTGTAAGCGAGGGCACTGCGCACAAGGCGGCGGAAGAGTAATAAGCAATGAGGGCCCGCAAACCAGAGTTCGGCTCCATGCTGGGCATGCTGGGGCCAACCGAGCCGGCCTCTGCAGCTGGCCTCTGCACATCCCTCTACTCCCACGCAGTTTTTGAGACAACACCAGCAGCGACAGCCAGTCAGCTCAGCCACACCATATGCTTGCTGTTTCTCGTTTAGGACCCCCGGTGGCACATCGCAGCCATCTGGGCTTTCCAGCGGCGCTGACTCAGCGCTAGTCGGACTAGCGCCGCCGCTGCCTGGCGCTGCTGGGGCTTTTCGATTCATGCACAATTCAACCATCTTTCGCGTGTATCGTATGATGTTCATCAGTAGGATCGTGTGTCTTCGTGAGCGCCCCAGCTCGCTGCCTCTGGGGGCCGCCCATGCGAGCATGGATGTCAGTGACCGCCGCCGCTGCCGCTGGCAGGCCGCCAAGGCAGGCTGCACAGCGTGGTCTGCTCACTTTGATCTTTTGTCTCACTAAAACGGTCTAAGAGGGCAGAGGGCGGGAGGCAGCAGCAACCTGCCGTAAGTACATGCGGGACGGCTGCGTGCCCAAATGGGTTTCGAAACTCTGGCAGGTGCCGACAAACCCCACAATTTCGCTTCTCTGTAGTCTCTAAACAGGATAGAATAGTTAGAACGCTGTCGGAGCACCTGCAGGAAGCCAGAGCAAGAGGTCATGGCCAAGGTCCGCGCAGGTGTGGTGGCAGCCCGCCTTCAGGCTAGGAGAACTTCCCACCGCAACCGGCGGTTGTCACGCAAGCCGGCAGGCTGTGCATGCGGGGCCGGAGGGTGCTCTGCGGTGTCTCGTGCAATCATGCCTTCCTGTCCCCCACCTGTAGGCCTCCATCATTGCTGGAATGGCCCCAGACACTCCTCCCGAGGGGATGATGCCCGTGGAATCGCCGCCGCAACTGGGCCTCTGGCACCGGTGAGGGCTGCGGCGGCACCCGCTGCCCGCTTTTGCAGCCGCCCTGCCGCCCTCGTGCAAATGGCAGCCCTGCGTGCTCACCCTTGCCTACACACTCCACTCGTCCATTGCTTCGAGCAGGATACTGAGTTCAGGTCATCCCATCAGGGCTGAAGGACGACGGTGTCCATGACGGCGGCGAGTTCCCATCTCCTCCTTGCCCACCGCCTGCGTGCTCTGGCCATGCCCACCACCTCCCTCCACCGTGCCCCTGTCAGCGAGCCATGCCACTGACCCACGGGCGCCCTACTCTTCTCGCCATCCCCTTCCCGCCCCCCGCCGGTCTGCCTTCATCCCTCGCTGCGCCCATGGGCCACCCTGCCCCGCCCTGCCCTGATGCCGTTTTGCCAGCTGCCAATGCGCCTGCGCCCCACAGCCATCAACCCTACTGCCCCTACTGCTGCTGTAGACCAGCCCAAGCTGCAAGCGCAAGGATAACAGCTGGCTGAGCGCCCCAACTGCGCATGGTCGCGCTGTGAACAAGGTGAAGCACCATTTCTGGGCCGACATCAAGCACTCGAGGCTGTTGCCGCCCAATGCTGCCTTTGCGCAGCTGGCTGCGAGACGGGCTGGGGCGTGACTGCTTGCGGTCAGGGGTAGCAAGCTGGCTCTGACTCTTGACTCTGTTAATTCCTCAGAGCCGCCCACCTTCAGTAGCCTGATGCACTGGCTGACACACACTTCTGTGTGTGCCTGCAGCTGGAGCACGGCCAGCAGCATGGCCTGAAGAAGGCACTACCGCATGATGATCAGTTCTTCCGTCCCTTATACCAAGCGTGTGAAGAAACTGTGGGCCACTACAGCAATGTGAGGGTCAGCCAGTTTGCTGATGCTGCGGTTAGCCTTCTCCATGCATGAGTGGCAGCTTCGCACATGCGCCCCACCCACTTTGACCTTTGCTCCACACCCCCAACCACGACCTGATGTGCCATCCCCTGTGCTTGATTATCTTTCATCAGCAGCTCCCCTGCGGGTACGCAGGGGTACTGCTGGTACCATGTAATGCAACACACGTGCGCAGCGAGCGCCGCAATGCGGCGGCGCTGGCCAGCGCCCAGCAGCACCAGCGCCGGGCAGCGTTCTGCCAGCGCTAGTGCTAATCAACCTCGCTGATCAGCGCTGGTGCTTTTTAGCGCTAATCAGCGCTGCTGGAAAGCCCAGGTGGCCTCTCTCCCTTTAATCGCACCGTACCCTACCTGGCTGCTCCTTCCCTCGGGCGGGACAGCGAGGCGTAATGCTGGGGCGGCGGGCAAGAACGACCCAGGAAGCCTGAAGCCTCTCTTTGGAGGCGTGAACGGCTCCAAAGGGCGTCGCACCGCGCCCGGCTGGCGCCCGCCGTGCTGAAAACCCTACTGCCGCTGAACGCCCTCCAGAGCCATTGCGCGATGCTGCACCCTCACGCTGTGCTTGCTGCCTCCCTGGGCCTGCTGCTGGCGGCCTGGGTTGGCACGAGTCTCGGGGCGGTGGAGGTGGTGGGAGAGGACCAGCAGCAAGTTAGTTTGATGTTTGAGGGTCCCAAGAATGAGACTAGCAGCGAGGACCTCCCATTAGACCTCCCCCCGCTGGTGAGCTGAACTTGACATGCTCCGGCGGGAGGTCGCTGCCCAGTCGGTCCAGCAACCTCCCATTCACTTTCTGCGCGACGGTTCATTGTGTCGAGACGCCGAAGGGGGGCTGCCATGGCTTCCGTCCCTGCCGCCGCGGCTGGCGCTTACCGCGCCCTTCCCCTCTGCTCGAGGCAGGTGCGCACTGTGACTGGATTTCAGCCAGAGGGCATCCACTTGACGCAATGGACGCAGAACAGCGTTCTGGTGTCGTGGCAGACCGGCGGTGGGTGACCATACCCTGCTGCCGCCCGACGTCCGGAAGCCAATGCAGCAGCTGGCCCCGCCGCCAACCGCTCAGTCGCCCATCCCGCTCCTGCTCCCGCCATGCTGCTGTGCCAGAGCCCCTGATCGCCAACAACACCACCCCGCCGCCTCCGTACGACCCAGCCACTGTGAGGTCGGTGGTGCGGTGGGGCACCCTCAGCGGCAACCTGACTGAAGTGGAGGAGCAGGATCACCGGCTGGTGTACAGCTACGTGTATGGGCCAGGTGGGTGGTGCGCTCTATGCAGGGGAGCAGATTCGATGCGGGCGCAGGGCGCGTCCTCTCGAAGCCGCCAGGCAGCTGTCTGGCTGCGGCCGGCTGCTCGCGTGCCTCTCTGCCTGCACACCCCGCTCGCTGCCTGCGCTGGGCTCGCGCCTCTGCCGCGTGCAGCCTCGGGCAACACCACCTACCAGTCCCCCATCCTGCACCACGTGCTGCTGCGCGACCTGGACCCAGACACCACCTACCACTACGCAGTCGGTGGGCCCGCTGCGCTGCGCTGTGCTGCGCTGTGCTGTGCTGTGCCGCGCTGTGCTGTGCTGCGCTGTGCCTGCGAGTGGACTACACACAAGGAGATGTTTTTGCCGCCAGAGCCTGGCACCAGCGCGCCCAGCCCGCCGACCGACCCTCCCCCGCCTGCCGCGCCCACGCGCCGCCTGCCCCCAGGCGACGAGGCCCACGGCTTCAGCGAGGAGCTCAGCTTCCGCACACTGGGCGGCTACCCGCTGAGGATTGGCGTCATCGGAGACCTGGGTGCGCGGGCGATGGGCGGCGCTGTGTGATGTGTGCGAGGGAGCGGCTCAGGCTGGGCGTGGGTGGAACGAGGGGCCCAAGAGCGCGGCTGGGCGTGCGCTAGCTACTGTACCCCAGCTCCGTCCCCTGCTTGCCACCCCTCCCACCTGCCCCGCCCCCTGCCTCCCGCAGGGGAGACGTACAACTCCACTGAGACGCTGGCAGGGCTGACAGATGCCGAGCCGGGTGAGCACGGCTGGCCGGGCGGATCGCTTGACCCTGGGCGGCGCTGGCCGTGCCCCGCGCATCCCGACGCTCTCTTTCCGCCTGCCACGCATGCCCTGTGCCCCCTGCGCCGCCGCCCCTGCCTGCAGACGTCGTGCTGCTGGTCGGCGACTTCACGTGAGGGGCTGGGTGGCAGGTTTGCCAGCAAGGCCAACCCTGCCCAGGCTGGCTGCCATGCGGCCCGGCAGCAGCACTTGCCCCGCACCCAACGCCACCACCACCCCCGCACCCACCACCACCACCACGCACACCGCCAGCACTCGCTCTGAGCCACCCCGCTCACCCATGCTCCCCCCTGCAGCTACGCAAACGACCACATGAGCGGGGATGCGGGGGACAAGGGCGTCAAGCTGGGCGCCAACGTGTCGCAGTCGTCCTCGGAGCAGCCGTGAGCAGCGCCTGATGCCTCTGATGCCTGTGTGCCGCCACCAGCCTGATGCGCCTGCCACCGCTGCCTCCCTGGGCCTGCCGCCTCTGCTGCCACCGCCGTCCGCAGCTGCTGCCGCTGCTGTGACTTGGGCCACCGCCGCTCCCCGCGCCGCCCACACTGCCTGCATGTGCAGGCGGTGGGATGGATGGGCGCGCATGATGCAGCCGCTGCTGGCGCGGGCGCCGCTTATGGCCACAGGCGGCAACCACGTGAGGCGGAGCGACGCACCCCGCGCTGCCCCTGCCGTGCCTGCCGTGCTCCCTGGGCTGGGCTGCAGCTGCGCAGAGGCACCCGGCTCGGGGCCTCTTGCCCACCACCTCCCGACCCGTAGCCCCCCCATCTCCCCCGCTGTCTCCCCCGCTGCCTCCCGCACCCCCAACCCCCGCTTCCTGCTCCCGACCCCCGCCTGCCGCAGGAGATCGAGCAGCTGCTGCTGGACAACAACGCAACCTTCACCGCCGTCAACGCGCGCTACCCGGTGCCCCAGGACCCAGACTCTGAGACCCTCATGACTGGCCCCAACTACGGAGCCTACTACCTCAACCAGTCCGCCTGGTTCACCAGCAACCACTCGTGCGCGCTGCAGCCCCAGCTGGCGCCTGCCCGCCTGCCGCAGGCCCCGTCTTTGCTGCGGCGCCATGCCTGCCTGGCCTTCCGCTGCGTGCCGCGGCTGGACCGGCGGCGCCTGGCGCCTCGCCTGCTCGGCCTGCCGACCATGCCCTGGCTTGTCCGGCCCGCCCTCCAACCGCCCGCTGCCGCCAACCTGCCGCAGGCAGTTCAAGAACGAGAGCGGCTTTGCGACTCAGAGCGGCTACTTTTCTCTGGATCTGCCGGGGGTGCACATCATATCGCTGCACAGCTATGTGAGGCGCAACTGAGGGCAGGCTCGAAGCCTGCATACGCCCGCGCGCGCCGCCGGCCCGCCCATTGCACGCGTCGAGTGGGCACGACCCCCCTTACACCCACCTCCCCCGGCTGCCTGCCCGCCTCCTGCCCCGCTGCTGCGCAGCTGCCCTGGGGCAAGGAATCTGCGCA